GGAGAAAAAGGCAAAGTCAAGGGTTATTGACAAGTAGAAAAGGGTAGCGGTTGAAGGACATCATCAGATTTAGGCAGTCCAGATTTAAATGTAGGGTGATGAATAGAGTAGGAGTAAGGGACTGGTAGAAGGCTGGTGGTAGGTAATTAATAGCATGGGGGCCACAGGCTGGATATGCAATGCCAGAAAGTAGATGATCGAAAGCGACTAACTCCGGTTCCTGGATAGATTGCTGCAGGCAAAGTAAGTTTCAAAATTGACGTTTAAAAAACATATTGACATAGCGGATTAGACATGGGTTAGCAATGACCGAGAGCAATGACATTTTTCTTCATTTAGATGGTGAATGAGCCATGGCAGGAGATGCTGGCCGTGGGTGCGATGGTGGGAGTTTTGGCGAAAGTACAGCCGGTGGAGCGGAAGTTCGTTTTGCCATTAGAGCCATCTTCTTTCTAAGGGCTCTTAGACGGGCCCGAATGCTTTCGACGACTGCGGGAAAACAGTTAGCAATGCAATACAACATAAGCGTGGCAGGAAAAGTCCCTTACGTTTGGCAACAACTTCACAGTCCTCCCCTTGAATTTGACTGTCTTCCATTTGGGGTTCGCCTGAACTGCCTCCATCTGCGGTTCCTCGGTCTTTAGTTGATCGAGAAGCGTCATCACTCTCTAGTACAGCCTCGAGCATTCTGATTGCGGTGACATAAGCTATTTCGCAACCGGACAAATCCTCGCCAGTCAACTCATTGATAGCAGCCGTCCGACTCATTTCCAAAGCTCTGTCATACATCAGTTTCTCTGCAGTGATACCCGAACTAATGATCACTTGGTCTGAAGATTGATCGAAACTTGGAAGACTTCCTGATTCGCCGACTTCGTGAGACATGCGGTACGGGTGATCGGGGGGCAGCTGCTTCTGCGCTTCTAGAAGGCGTCGACGGGAATATTCGGCTTTCTGAAGCACTTCGTTGAAACGAGTCCGGACCCATTGGACAACATTATTAATTCGACTGCTTATCACGATGTCCTTCTCCGTCTTCGACGGTGGTAGGCCACTGCCGATACTCTCTTCCCGGTTTTTCCGTGCCCACCATGCTCCTGCAATATCCATGGCCTTTGCAAGAATGGACAAAGCCTTTACGTATAACACCAAAGCTTCTTCAGATAGTGTAAGCACTGCATCAAGCGTCAGGCCGTCATCATCGGGGCTATGCTCAATGGTACTTGGCTTGATGGTGGAATCCGATTTGTTCGAAGGCGTAGCCGGGATAAGTTGCTTGTATTTGACTTCAGCAAACCCGTAAACAACATCACTCCGAGTCGCACATTCCTCGATAATATGTACGGTCTTTGAATCATGGCTAAGATGTTGTGGCTTCTCATCGACTACTACCAAGCTGCTCTGTGCAACAGGATATGTCGGGAATGGGCTATATCCTAACGGAGGAGATCGGCCACCCTTTGTCAACGCGGATGGCGGAGAAAAGCTGACACCAAACAGCCTCCCACTAGCCATGTTAAGAGCCTTGGAGATAGCCGATGTTGCAGAAATCGGATTAGGCCCATATCTCCTATCATATGAATATCGTCGATTATGTGTAGAATCGGCTCTTGGCTTAGTTTGTCTTTCTTGGGTATCGGGCTGGGGAGTATATTTTGTTTTGAGCGAATGCGGAGTAGCTGTGGTTGTAGCCCGGCGAACAATGGCACCAGACTGACGAGAGCTCAACTGCTGTTGCTGCACTCTGGGACTAGCAGCGAGCTCATCCGCAAAAGCATTTACTTCAACTGCTCGTTTCTCCACCACAACATAATCTCGTTCGAAAGCAATATCTTGTGCAGCACGCTCCTTTTCTATCTCTGATAACTGCTTTGCATTTTGGGAACGAGCAGTCTGCGAAGGCCCCGATATCTGCTCGGTAAGGGAAGATTTGGAAGACCGCTGGTTATCGCTTTGCCTCACCACAGGCTCGCTAACAGGGTAAACATTTCTAGTTGAAGGGATTGCTGGGGAGTCTTCCGTATGACGACCTGCTGCACGCTGAAGATCGTATTTATCTCGTCCATCTACCCTGCTTACAGCAGAGCCGAGTCGTGAGTTATGTTCCACTATTGGTCGAGGGCCAGGTCGAGTTTCAGTTGGTTCAGTCACTGGAGCTGGAGCTTTATTTGTTGTCTCTTCAACCTCATCGTCCATGTCTTCGGCTTGGGTGTCTGATCGGTCCAGTATCTCTTGCTCGAGGCCTTCCGGTTCCAGGTCATCGCCTTCAAGCCGTTGCCGTTCACGAGCGGCATTTCTCTCTATTTGTTCTTCTAGGTCTTCACCTACCAGACCAGGGATATCACCCTCGATAACTGAATTCCCAAAAAATAGAGGGAAAGTAATTCTTTCAACAGGATTAAACTTGAGGAGGCTGCGGATTAGCTTTTTTATGTCACTGGCAACTGGTGTCTCCCGCGGGAATCTAATTCTGTCCTTGGTCAACTGGATCTTTTGCAGCAATTCCATGTGGTTTGCAGCTTTGAACGGGGGCTTTCCAACCACCATCTCATAGAGTACAGTCCCAACGGACCATAGATCTGCTTTGGCGTCATATTTCTCATAGCGCAAAATCTCAGGCGCCATATATAACGGTGATCCGCAAAGGGTATCCGCAAGCGATGTAGATGGTAGAGACCGGGCAAATCCAAAGTCTGCTATTTTAAGCATAGGAAATGACGAAACTCCCGCGATGGGAGTGAACGAGTTTTCGCTTCCCTTGTAAGAAACAGACTGGATTAGGGTTTTCGAGCAGATGATGGGAGAAGGATGGAGGAGTAGATTCTGCGGCTTGACATCTCGATGTATCAAGTCCTTTGCTCTGAGGAACTGAAGTGCACTGGCAAGTTGCTTTAAGAAATGGCGGACAACTGCATCATGGAGACCCTCTCCTGGTGGATTGGGATACTTGGTCATCATATCTCGTAGCAGCTCGTGCTTGGCCATGGAGTTCCGTTTCCTGATAAAGCGGGAGAGATCACCGAGCATGCAGAACTCCATAATGATATGTATGTGAGATGACGTCTCATAGCAATCTATCAAGGCAACGATATGTGGGTGCTGAAGGCTCTTAAGAATATCGATCTCCAACTTTAGGTTATCTCTTAGCTTCTTGGTCATACGAAGCAGAGTGACCGATTTGACGGCAACAAAGGTGTTGTATTCCTATTATTAAAGAACTAAGTCAGCTTACTCTTTCAGACTCTTCAAACATTGTTCCAGGAATATTATATTAAGGGGAGGGCCTTACATTATGGGTACCACGATAGACTGTAGCAAAGCTACCACGACCAATCTCATTCAGCCGTGTGTAGTGCCCTATTCTCAAATTCATCTGCTCATCATCCACAACTGCTTTAGCCCGTTTCGAGCTCTCTGCCGATGGTGTAGCCATGATTTATGGAGTCCCCAAATCTGATAGCACATCGGTTTGGGTGGCCAACCAAAGGTACGTTATCCAATATCCTTACTCAGTCCAAAGGTATGGTCTCGCGCCCATCTGAGGCAGCGTTCGACCAAGCTATCGCCGGGGTTTGATGTAGTAAGGGAGATGCAAAAGCCAGAAGTGGAAGACGAGGGTTAAGGCCGCGGTCGAAATCGAGGGTGTTTTATGCAAGACGGATCAAGGAGTGAAGAGAAGGACCAGACGAAAGAGTGAATTCACAGGAAAGTAAACAGAGAGCTGTAGTCCAGACAAAGGACAATATAATGCAACCTGTGAATGAGGAGAAGAATAGAGAGATCAGCCAGCGCTCTGCAAAGCACTATATAAATCATCACTAGCAGTCAGGCACCCGGAAAATGCAACCCATGACCAGGATGATGCCATGCCCAAGAGAAGGCAGCAGCAAAAGGAAGCGAGGCCGGTGAGTAGAACTGAGCAGTGAGAGTAACAGAGATGGAGATAGAAAGCAGAGACAAAAGGACGGGAGATGCCCTTACTATGCTATTGAGTCGATTCCCAAGCCAGCTGGCGAACCGGAGATATCCAGGCCACTTTGTTCGGTGGTGCATGTGTTGGGTGTAGGCAGCCAGATCGTATCGCTCCTACGCGCCCCCCGGGTTGTTGATTATATATGACAGGTTATATAGCAGCCAGCTGTGTAAGGGATCAGGGTGTATATGCAGAGATATAAGTGTGTATATATATATATATATATTTCAGAGAGAAAGAGAGAAGACCGAAGGGCCAGGAGGACAGGGAGCAGCCAGGGCAGGGATGTTCCACAGAAGAGTCGATCAAGCAACCCCAGTGCGACGGAATCGTTGGAGAGCCGTCCCTTGACTGTGAGACGGCGAAGAGAGCAGCGAGATGGCCCAGAGGAGGCAGACGGACGGATGGCTGGTGCAAGCGAAGCTGGCGTTGGACGTTGCGAGGCCGCAGTGCGAGGTCGCTGTTCGAGCGGTTTTGGCGCAGGTTGACGCAAAAGGGCGAGGAGTGACCTTATCTTATCGGCCGGCCACGGGACCCATGGGGCGCCTAAGAGAGACCTCAGCTACTTACTTTAGGTACCTCGACCTAACCAGCAACGCCTGGAATAACACCTGGGCCGGCGGGCGATGGAGATGGAGATGGAGATGGCGAGGGAGATACTTCAGCCGCAGTGCCAAATCACACGGCGAGATCATGTACCTCCCAAGGCTCGCATGGCCCCCGTTGCCCGGAGCTTCAAGGTACTCGTCCTCGATGACACTGGAGACCCCAAGGTGGAGCTCTCCTGTGCTGGATGATCGGCTTTAGTCAGGGCGCTCGCCGTGTGATGGCCTCTGCTGCTCTCCTGGTGTTGCTGGGACTCTTGTTGATGCGTCCAGGGGAAGACTGCCAGCCTGGACGAAGACGTCTGATGCTCGCCGTGAAGGAGGGCGACGGCGTACAGGGAAACAGCTCTGCATGGTGAACGTGGATGGCTCGCTAGCCTGGACTGCTTTCTGTGTCCCGAGATGCAAGGATGGGCTTCCCCGGACCACGCATGGCAGGCAGATGCGGCACACACACTGGTGTGTACTTGCTTGTACTTTGGGGATGCGCCCGTTGCTATGTGGAATTCAGGCATAGGCCGCCATGGCCCTGATGTACCTCGCCTTGGACATGGCCCCCTGGCCAGTAATGTCCGGTTATTCTTCCGCCGGAGAGGCTACTGGCTGCCCACCTAGACCGTGGTCGACGTGGCAAGGGAGGTGCATATTCATTACATTACAGTTACTACTGAGCTGCTTGGCTGGGCTGGACGGGCAAGATGGACTAGTTATACATTATGTACTTATCATATAATCGGACAGTCGTCAAAAAGAAGAATCAATATTTTAAATCCCCTCCCCCTTTAGATCCTGTAGATCTGGTGGACATGGTCAACCAGCAGCTGCAGCCCGTCACAGCCGCAAACCACGCACCAGCAGCCACAGAACCAGGGGGACAACTACATTGTCGTTACCTCCAGTCAGCACAGCTTCCATGAAGCTTGATGCGACAGCTGCGAACGCAGACTTGACTATCGTCAGGATCCAGTCAACCCGGGCCTCCCATCCTCCACCAACCAGCCAGACACGGGCAGTCACAAGGCCAATAAAGACTGCTGCAGCGAAAGAAGCACTCCCTTCGATACTCTTATCGCCGCCCCAGAACCATCGGCGTCGACCATAGCGTCGACCGACAAGCGACGCAGCGGCATCACCCATTCCAACGCAGACTATGCCGCTCACCATGCTGACATCCCGGCCATCGATATCCCATCCTTCCCATGGAGCTGTGCCTTGATGGAGGGTACCAGCAAGGCTTAGTAAGAGTGGCAGGGCGCAGCCGAGCATGAGGAAAATATGAGACACTACCACGGGTCCACGATGGTCACGACCGTCAACGTAAGGTGTGAGGAAGTAAGACAGCCAGCGAGCTAGCGGCGGCACTTGGGATGCACGGAAGAGCTCAAGGAGCAGGAAGATGGCAAGGACCAGTGTGCAGGATAGAGCGACAAACGCTGGGTCGATAAAGACAGTTGGAAAAAACATGGCGACCATCATGCCGTGGAAGATCTTCCGGCGTGTGTCCACTTCCACCACACGCGAAAGCCGGTGGACTAGTGATAGTCCTAGTATTAAAATAAGGATACAGTAGCCGCAAAGAAACAGCCGGGTGTTGGCCTCTCCAAGTGTGTCGCGGCGGAGATGTTCGACCCAGCCTAGGTGACAGGATGCTGAGATATCGTATATCCGGGGTGGAATGCAGGCCCAGACCTCAAGGCTCCAGAGTAACAGCGTGAACCTGATAGACGGTATGTTCCCGAAGAGATACCCAATCGCCCATCCAAACGGCTCCCTCCCCCCAAGGGCGTATTCACCAACGTACCACCTCACCGGAACCAGTATGATAGCAAGAATCATTGCATAGACGTACAATGCATACGCCCATTTTCGGATAGTAGCCTGTTCCATGGTAAGGGAGAGAAACGCTCTCATACTGGGCGGAAGCTGCCGTTTCCGTCTACCTCCCTTCGTAGTAGTTCTGCGAGCAGGCACCATTTCTCCCGCTTTAGAAGACAAAACACGCTGACTATCTGATCTAGAAGGCTGTGTCTGGTCATCTAGCTTGTCCATGCTTGCCTCAATTCTAAGCTCGTTTTCCATGGCTGAAAGGGGCTGCTGGCTCGATCCGGCTCGTTTAAACAGCCCCTTGTCAAGATCGACTTCTGTTGCCAGAAGTTTCGTGACATTGTTATACAGTACGCTGGTCCGACGGCTTCTGGATCTATCCACATCCACCTGCACCTCGCTCTCTGAAGCTTGGTCCTCGGAAAATGGATGATTCAGAGTATGGCAAACTTGACGGTCTAGCGCACCCAGAATATGATCATCATCAGTTGTCTGAGTCGAAGCTCGGCGGAATTTCCAAGACGGGATTTTAGCCAAGGTTGCTTCCCAGAGAAGGACACGCTTGCACGCAATGAATATGCACAGTGAGCCTAGCCAGATCAAGGCTTTGAGGATCTGAGCCTGAGGAGACTTTGAGACAAGAAGTACGTTGACCAAGGCGGTTCCCAGGAGTTGCACTTCCGACGGCAGTAAACTTGAAGTAACAAGATATTGAATAATCGAGATAGTTGACTTTTGCAGTGGGAATATAAGGACTAAAAGTTCTGGTTCAAGTCCGAGTTCGGCCAGAGCGTCTTTGGGGCTCCGGGAAAGTGGTAGATTCTCAGAAATGAAAAGAGGGACGGCGGTAATCATCCAATGCACCACACTATAAGTTCCAGAATCATGAAATGGAATAGTTGCAGCTGGCAGAGATGAAAGGCTTAGAATTATGTTCAGTAAAACGAGCGAGTCACAGGATGGCCCTAGAGACAGAGCTGTCAAGACAGGTATTAATATGGGGTATATCAAGGGAGCTGGATCTATATCTTTTGAAAACGGAAAGGCTATGATCCTCTTTAGTTTCGTGCGATAACTGCCGTAAGGACATTTCCGGAGAGGAAATATAGCATAAAGGCCCAAGACAAGGAGAATAAAGGCAGATAACTCTATTAAAACATATAGTTAGTCCTGAATACCAGGTAATCTTTATTGTCTGCTTTGGTTTCGACTCACCTATAAACCAGGTTTTTACCACTGAGCGAACACTACGCCTTAGCACCACAGCAAATGCTACTCCAAGCACAAGCGCAGTCTCGCAAATTCGCCGCAATACCTCAATACGAAGTCTTGCCCCAATAGTTATATGAAATTCCAATTCCCCCGAATCCAGAGAGTCAACAATACGCCTCCTAGAGCGTCTGGAACCAACTGCGAGCCCTCGTTTCTTTCGCTCCGTAGTAGTTACTTCATCATCACCCCGTTTGAACTGGTATTCTATCCTCCTGCTTACCAGGGGTGTAGGCAGACGTTTTAGCGCCCCATTCGCCTCATCATCAGCTTCCGTGCCACTATCGCTGGGTGTCTTGAATGGTTTCCTCCATGCATAGAGGCTCTCCCCTGAATCTGTCGTTGGTGTAGTGGTTGTGTTGTCTTGGTTAGGACGGCGGTAGAGGTGTGGCGATCGTTGAGGGAGGCCATAATTCTGTGCACTCTTTTCTTCCTGCTGGAGCTCTATATCCGGTGGGCGGCCTTCTAGCTCACCCTCGTTCGTGAGTTCATGGGTTGCCATCCCATCATAGTATAGATTTCGCTCAAAGTAGTTGTCGAGTAATGGGCCGGATGTGGTTGGCTTGCTTCCATCCTTTTGCTCATGCAACTGACAGGCAGCTATCCTCGGCCCAGCCGTCAGGTGTAGTTGAGACAAGGTAGATATCCAAGTAAGTGTTATTCAGATAAGGGCTTGCTCGCCAAATGCCTGTTGCATTCGTATTGCAGGCCGATTATTTTATTATTTACTCCAGTCTGCAGGTGTTGGGCGTGACGGGAGACAAGCAACTCGCATCAACTTTGGCCCGTGTGTGGAGGAAATTCATGGAAAAAAATCAAGAAAACTGAGAGTTTTATTGGTCAAACTGTCATGCCCTCGCTACGCATTGTCACTATCATTGGTCTACTCATTCTATTATTACTACCTTATTCTCCCTTTTACCCAATAGTATTGTTCAATTCTGGATGTCTAAACTTCGAGTTCATCTTAATCAGCGAATAGCATTAAAGTGGCTCTTGGCGATGCCGTGACCCCTGAGGTCCAACCCCCAAGAACCCAAAAAAAAATCTTACATAAGCCTTTCGGGCATCAACTCCGCCGCAACAATATGAACAGCTTTAATAACCACGTCGTCATATAATCATTAATATCCACACCTACGGGAGAGTATGAGCAGAGCTGAAATATACTTCTTGAAAAGGTGCGCTTTCAGAATTCATCCATCGAACGCAACGAATGATTCTAACACCCGCTAGATCACAGCCGATTAACCCAACCCTAAAACACAGGTTCTCCAGACCATCCCGCCGAACATCACTTTCTGAACATCATTTTATTACTTTGTTTAATACTCAGCAATGCCTGAAGTAGGCGCTAAGGCCCTGTGTGGAGAATGAGAGAGAATTCCAAGCCAGTGGCTCGAGATGAAAGAGAAAATGATAATGTCGTTCGAAGGCCGATCTTGCAACATCGTCGACAGTGAAGATAAAACCTCGTTGAGCATCTCAGCCTAGAGAGTGGGCTAGTAACCAGAAACATACTCGCTGGCCATGTGCTATACATATTGATGGCACGAGTCAAGTTTGAGAAAGCCCAATAGGCATCACTTCTTTATATCCTTCTTTCCGCATGCCGCTCAAGTCCCCGAATTCGAAGTCATTGGAAATCTTGATTCCGTCATCCGCTCCCATTCTTATGATAAGAAATGCATCATTTTTGTATATTTCTGGAAGATACAGAGATAAGCAGTTGGTCACTGATAGACCACCCTTCCGCTGCTCTTCTCTCCACAGTTTGTTGTTCTTAACGCCAACTCAGATTATTTCGGGGAGTTTTTCGATATTATCGCATTTACTGAATAAGAAGGGACAGTATTCACTGCGATTACCTGCTATAGTTCCTTCTAAAATGTTGGAATCTTGCTGGGTTAAAACAGGCAGCGCTAGTTCTAGTTTTGGGAGGAATTAGCTCGTGGATTAAGGCTACTTCTTCTTCAAAGGAGTAGTAACAAACCATCACTGATTTGACGCTGTTCACTTTCTGATGCTCTCAGTTCGGTAGCCTCTTGTGACCTATCAGACTCTGGTGCCGTCGAATCGGGTACATTTGTGTGCTCAGTATGAATAAACGTCCTATCTTTCGCTTGGGTTTCCAGAATTTTGAACGTGGAATGGTGCTCTGCAGCAAACTCCCTTGCCGCTTCACTCAAGCCAGACGGATGTTCAACCTGTCTCCACCATCTTCTCATTTCATACACCCCTTCGACACAGTTGAGCGTTCCAAGATTGGTGACGGAGATTGCAAGTGCACAGAGCAGAAACACCTCGACCCCAAGAATCTTGTCGTTTTAAACATTGCTGAAAAATGTCCGCGCCTTTTCTCTTTCTGATCGACGTGTTTCTGTGTCGGGAACGTGCCATAACTCGAGGCACCGTGCGAGTTTCTTCCTCTGTAAACCGATAAGTTCATCGTTTATCTCACTGTAAAGCTGCCTTTGGGGTTCGAGCAGAGATACAGCCTGCTTAGCAGAAAGCTTTCAAGTCCTTTGTACCATATCTGCGATGGATACTAGATAAGGGTTTCTGTCGACCTAGGCTGGAGGGAGACTCGTACAGAGTGATAAGTTGAAGATGTTCAGGCTGGTTTTGGATGATGCAGGCCGGTTTAAAGTGGTTCGAAGTGGTCCGTTCTTTTTATTACATGCGGCACAGCCTCGGGATTGACTGGCCCTAGCCGCCCTAGCTAGGCAACTCCAGCCAGCAGGGCGGCTACAGAGTAATATCACCAGGTAATATTTTCCAACCCAACCGAACAACACTGAACCACAATATGCCCTCTGGAGCCCTTCTATACCTTTTGCAATTCTCGACTAGCCAGTTGATTTTAACACCCATGCTTCATTCAACCAGACAGCCATCTCACTGGGGCATCCAAACCTCATGACCATGCTGCTCAGCCCAAAGTTGTGCTGACCATGGTGTGTTTTTCGTTGACTTGCTGCCGTTGGGAAAGACCCTAGCTTACTCGATGCATGCATGTCTGTCTCCATTCTACAAAGCGACTGCACATCAAAGCTGCAAGAACTGTCTTTTCCGTAGGATCGCTCGAATGTTTGAAAATATATGCTTGCAATGCCAGCCCGATGGCACGCAAGACTCTGCTCCCTTCTACCTGCACCATCGCGCAGAAAATGGAATATAAATACCCCCTTTCACCACCGAACAAAATGGTATTCACAGCAGCGACTCTCCCACGACTACCAACTCCAACCGAAGACCCAGAAATACTTTCAAGTTTTTATTTCTAGATACAATCCACCGGTAGGTTTACCTTTGGGGTAATTTCCAGTTATTTATCTAACGCTTGAACCTTAGTGAAAATGTGTCAAAGGCTCATTGAAACTATCGAATACGAATGCAGACATAGAATTGACTCCGTCGGCTCAGTGTTGGAATATCAGGGCTGTACCAAATGCGGCATTATCAAGAAAACAGTGTACATGGGAAAAATGGTTAAAAGAGCACCATGACCTGACTGTGTCGCATATAAAGTCTATGTGAAAGTGAATGGGCGTTGGCAACAGGCATAGCTATCCAGGCAAAGGCCCAAGCTCTCGAGTATAAGGCGGCCAGATTCAAGTTAAAACTCACTCTGCCTGGAAGTTATCTACATTATCAATTAACATTCTGTCGTTTCCTGTACCATGGAACTTGCCACTCAGCATCCTGCTTATGTTGTTCCTCGCCGAACGCAAAGTACATTCTTTATATCGTGGCCAGCTAAATAACTGTCTAATTTCCTGGATACTACTCCATGCTAAGATATCACCATTTCCACTTTGGGAAGATCTCTCATTCCTAGGGTAAGGTTCTATATTTTATAATGTCGTGGTTTATACGAAGTGAGATCACCTCTCCTATCCACCCTTGCTTCATTCTCTTGCTCTTTCTGATACAGCTATTCGAAACAGAGTATATTAACCCAAGAATAAGACTTTGTTTATTGTATAAGGTTAGCTGGGTGGAAATGATAAAATTTCAGTAATAAGAGCAATTAGCTAGTTACCTACCTTGTTAGACAAGTTAACGCATGAGGCTCTGCAAAGCTTATCTTTTATTAGGTTGGTTAACTATATAGTTACTTTCCACCTTTTCTTTTCAACCTCCTCCCCCAGAATTAAATTTCTCTCCTTGTTTGTTGAAATTTGTTAGTTTTAACGGTCGAAAAGCTACAGGTATTTACAACTTCCATACAGCTCGTTGGTCAGACGCGGCGCTTATGGTGTGGTTTCCACTAAGTCGTCTAGATTTCCGCCCGTAGCTGTAACTAGTTACCCGTACACTAAACCGACACGTCTCACCCAACGAGGAGATAAGGATAGTTATTAACCCAACTCCATAAGTCGATCCCATCAGTATCATAGCTATTGATGGTCCAAAACGATTCCCTGGAGTACAATGGATCTGGCGCGGCGCTATATTAGTGGTGTACGAAGTGCACCCTCAAATTGTGGTCAAAGTCCCTATTCCAGAAGAGAGAGAATCATTTGCGAACGAGATTAAGATCTATGAAGCTTTCTCTACACGTCCACCTTGTCCGTCTACTGTACAGTGTTTCTACTACACCGAAAACGGCATCTTTTTGGAATACATGAGAGGTTCGAAAAGATCCTGTCTTTGGACCTCGTGTATTTAGTTAACTGACTGAATCTGCAGACTCAACTCTGTCTGTTAGAATCCAACACAACCAAGTTCGTGACGAGTCTACAGAAGTAGTTACAAAGATAGAAAAACTGGAGCCTATAGCTTTACGAAAGAGATGGATGAATGACCTTGCCCAAGCCGTCGCTTTTCTCCAATCCCTCAACCTCGCTCATGGAGACCTACGGCCAGAAAATGTCCTCCTTGACGGTGATAAGCTAAAAGTAACAGACTGACCGTACAGCGGAAATTGGGACGCATTTTTGAAGGTTGTGGGGCTCCATATAGGAGGTTCATGAACGGTACCGAACCAGGCGAAGAAGCAAACGATACATCAGCCGGCAACTTAAGCCCTCGAACAGAGCAGTTCGCCCTGGGTTCTTTGTACTATTTTATCAACTACAGCTTCGAGGTTTATGGAGATCGATGTCTTGATCCTGATAATCCTAGGGAGCATGGCTTCAAGATGATCGGTTTACTGCAGAATTTGATATTCCCAGAACTCAACGGAGATTCTTTGATTGACGATATCATCCACAAATGTTGGCATAACAAGTATCGCAAGGTTACCGATTTGGCTGAATACACTGAGGCTCTCCTTGTCAAAGAACCCAGTGCTGCAGAAGACACTGAAGCCGGCTCATCGGAGGACGCTACTTGGAAAAAGGTCCTGTGCCAGGATCTAGAATACCGTGGGCTTCTAGAGTTCCTTTGTTCTGACGAGCCGGTTAAACTTGGCTTCCCTCTCGGTTGGTATAAATACAGCGAGACGGCCTGATGGTCCATCTGAGGTAGAAGTTTGGTTCACTTTTAGGTTTCTCTCGAGTTTAACTACCATTTCCCTCTGATTATGAAACTCTATCCATGATAAGTGCAATAATCGGGCTGTGTTCGAAGATACCATATCTAGACTTTGCTCTGTGTGAATTTTCTAGAATGAGCTAAATACTCAACCTGAGGCCCCCTATAAGGCCCCAAAATTATTACTTTATTTCGTTAAAGCGTAACTCGGAACGAAAGCCTTTTAGTGGTTATTCTATAAAAAGCGCTCTAAAGCTGACGGCTAATATCCCGGGAAGGACACACCTCCATGCCAGATCTAGAGTAGCCGTTAAAAAGCGATGGCTATTTCCCTATCTAGGTAAATGTGGCAGACTGTCTAACATATCATGCACAGGCAAAGAATTAGCATCACACCTGCAAGCCGATGACTCTCAAGCTTACCCATCACATCCAATCAATGTAAGACTCGGTGCTACATTGAAATTAGCTCTAAATGACTAGGGGGGAATTATCCTCCAACTATCACAGTTCAAGCATGGAATGAGATCGTCTGTGGTATGTGAGTATGTTAGACAAGCATTTATGCTGCATTACCATATAAACATCGAGTGGATATCGCATCCCTTACATTCACATTCAATAATAATTTCCTCATGGCGAACTGGTTTGAAAGATAAGAGCGGCCACAAGCTCTTCTGCTGCACAGCCATACACAGCCTTACATGGTATCACCTGGCCATCCCATGCTTCAAATTCGGCTCCATGAGGGGTATAGAGAGCCATATGGGAAAATACACCTCCATGAGACATATCTGTGGCAATTTGCACTGCTTTTCGCAGTGAGGCTTCTAGATCAACATCATGCTTCGCCACAATCGATATGGATGTATAGCAGCCAAACTCAGATCCAGACGCATGCAGGACCCTCAAATCATCAACTTGGTCGTAAGATAGAGTAACATTGCTTCCCTTTAATCCAAGGCCCTGCCATTCGATACTGCTTCCTCGGGGAAGCTCGTCAACCTCAATGGCAAAAAAAGACGGGATAACGGACGTTCCCTGGACAATATCGAAGTCTGGTATTGGCAGCATAGTCACCTCCTTCTTAGGCTGACTATATTGTCCTCCATACTTCATATGCCAGACATCAAACGTGGAAGAGTCACCATCGTCCTCTTCTTTGTCCTCTGTATGGTGATCTTCGTTCATCCGTTTCCATATATCCCACGCTAGAGCAGCTCTAGACTGTACGCCAGCATGAGCAGACAGGAACACCACAGCTCCCATCCACCAGCGCACTTCCATTGCCCTGCCTATTCTCCATAGATGCTGTAGAGATAAAGCAGCCTGAGAGAGGAATAACGACTGCTCGCTCTCTGACTCTCCAGTAGGGGAATATATTTGCATCGAGCTAGGGTCAAGTGGTATTTGGCCAGCAATGTAAACAGGTCCCGCTGCTAGTATTTGACCAGAAGACGACTCCATTGGGGCATACACAGCCTGGGAATAGGGTCCTATATTTGCTGGAGCCCAGTAAGATCTTGACTGGACATGGAGGGCCTGCAAAAGCGTGTTCAGGCCTAGGTAGAAAGTAAAGGATATCATTATATCAACTCCAGTAGGCATACTGTCTCCACAAGCGACGGTGGCTCTGGCTGGGGGATTGGGTCGGGTGAAGAGGCTTGAGTATATAGCGTTAACAGCAGAAAAATCATCCATCGATCGAAGTAAAATCGTGCTAAAGATTGCGTCGTCCGGAGTTAATCCTTCTCCTTCCTCCTTCTTTTGAGCACCCAAGAGAACTGCTAGCTTATCCTTAATCGCATGCATCTGCTTTGAAGCTCCACCCCCAGCTCCAGGGGCAGCGAGGTTGTAGACATTCAGCTGCCCTCTGGACTTCTTATACTGTAGCGTATATCCCCTACATTGTTTATCTTCCATTTTCCGATATATCGGAACGGCACGCTTAACCTCGTTCAATTTCACGGTATCAAGAAGTTTCCTGAATTCATCATCAAACATCCAAGGTACCCTTACATCACCCAGCGTACACCCTGTGCCATTGTCAAAAGCCTCTTTCTCGACACACCGGGCACCTTTGAGGGATAAGAATGCCGCTCCGGCATCTCCAAATCTTCTATCCACAGAACCAACGTGAATCCTTTTCTTCCATAAAAATCGTGGTCCGTCCAAAGCAAGGCTCTCGTATTCCCCTCCCTCGCCTAACACAGCGGCTTCAACACCTTCATCTAAGAATCGCCCCAGTCTTTTGACAATAGTCCTCCTAACGGTTGAATCTTGACTTACGAGGTCGCCCCATAGATCACTCTCATCCAGCCCACCGCTTGCTACCTTTATTATTCTCGCTTCACAGCCACACGCAGCCATATCATCGAGCAACCCCGTAATCGGCACTCTGGCCGTGGTGGCCGCCGCATTCTGGCAGTGTAATGGTGCGGGAAGATACGGGTACATCCACAGCCACGCAAGAGGTGTCAAGTTCAACCGTAACGCAACATTTTCAATCCTGGTTCTTTGATACGTGGACAGAACAGCGCCTGCACAAACAGCATTCACTTCCGGACGGGCCTTTAAAACCTGCTGAAGCAGGTGATATATCGACTCTGTTTCGTCTTTTTCTTGCTCTGTTCTGCCTGTGGAAGCCTGATGATGATAGTCTCGAGACGTATTTACTGCACGCCCACGAATCTCCTGCCGAAATAAAGGGATTTCCAAGGCTTCCTCGTAAAGCGGAATCACGCTGTACCCAATCGTTTGGTACATGTAGCTGTCCAGATCTTTGTCTTCCTCCTCTGAACCAAGACTTCCCTTCCCTTTTTCTTGTCCTAGGCGAGGTGGGGGGTATAAATTCGCGAGTGCTACAACTCTATGTCCATTTTTCATGCAATGCAAGATGGTATATAGTGAGTCCTTCCCGCCTGATATCAGAGCAATAACGTTCAGCTGTTCGGGCATGGTGAGTGTATCTTCTGTGAGAGTGGGCTGTCACTCTCTGTGTGAGTTGTTGGTTATTGGTGAATCGATACCACGGCTGCCCTGGAGAACGACTTGTCACTTTTTTTTTTTTTTTTGGCTGAACCTAACCAAACGGACGGAATCAATAGTTGGATATTGACAGGAGTTCAGCGTCAGCTATCGAAACACGTTGGATGACCCGGGATGGATGTTTGCATCATTAGGTTCTCTCGATGCATTTCAGCCCCACAGGTTTGATAACAAATACTTAACAGTTTTTCACCGACGGTGTACATGGCCAGGAACCAATTCGGATCCAAAGATAATAATCAATATAACAGTGGACAGTTATAAATAGACGAGGCAAGCTCCAGAAGAGAAAGAAAATCAATACCAATAAATATATTACTTTTTTTTTTTACTTCTTTTCTTTCTTTCGACTTAGCTACATCCAACAAAAGGAAAGAAAAAAAAAAAAAAAAAAAAAAGATTATGTGCGTTCGCTCGAAGCAGAGCGAGGTAGGTATTGCCGAACAAGAGATGTTAAAGTGTGCTTGACAGAGTCAGAACGGAGGGAGGGGAAAAAGGCTAAGATAAAATTATGATACAGTAGCGACAGTTAAGAAGATATGTCAAGGCGAAGAAAAAGAGGATATAGTGATACGTTTGCAGGAGGCAAGTAATAATATAATTAGGTAGCACGCGGAATTCGCATGTGGGCAAACACAAAAGCAGTATTGGCATAAAGGTCATAAGAAAAGAAGAAAAGAAAAGAAAATGCTAGATGGGGAAAAAGATGGCCATGAATTAAAAAGAAAAGATAGGCGAAGTAAAATAAAAGATAGGGTAAAGGGGAAGCAAACAATTATAATATTTATCAAGTACAAAGCTATGAAGGACAAAAGATGGGCGGGAGGTAAGGTGGTATCTGGAGAGTGGCGAGGACGAGGCAAGGCCAAAGGGCTCGAGGATATAGAGTAACGTATGCTAGGACCAGCAAAGCATTTGCGAAGGTAATAGGGTGGCTGTTAGGATGTTGATGCAGATGTTCAACAGCAAACCAACATCGTGGAGGAAGCAAGTATTAAAACGGTTAATGTAGTTCAAGTAACAGGGAAGTAATGCATGAATATCTAAAAAGAAAAGAAAAGCCCATGGCAGAGTAAGCAGGAGCTCACAGGTGACGGGAATAATCATCGTTGTGTGATGAAAGATGTCGAGAAATAACCCAGAGCCACCTCCCTACCCTTTTGTGAGAAAAGGAAGTAAAAAGTCAGACCTCTGCAAACGCCAATGCTCAGGAACACCAATCCCCTTTATAATGAGACCTGCGCCGATTGTATGAGTAGTATGTCGAATGCCCACGGATAGAAAATTGTATATGTCCGGCGAATGAGCTTTCAGCCCGGGAGGAATAATTTTTTGTAAAGAAAATTCATTATCCATACGAAGTGCAAAGCAGAAGAGAAAAATTAAATTTCTTTACTCAGATGCTTCACGCTTGCGCTTCTTGAGTGGACGCTTCCGGTTTGTGAAAGGCGCAGAGGACTGGTTGTCTCGAGTAGAGAGGCCGCTATCTGACGATTCACTGGTCGTCGACTTGTTAGCAGCAGCCTGGGCAACTTCATAGAGTACGGCTCCGAGGGCTCCAGCATCTTGGTCATCAAAAGGGGATGATTCAGGGTGATGGTCAGACATGGTCATGGGCATCCCAGAGCCACCGTGGGTGCGTGTGTGTTGAGCAAGGTTGTCACTGCGGGAGAACTTCTTGCCACAGTCCTGACACTCAAATGGTTTATCTTCGGTGTGCAGGGAACGGTAATGACGCTTGAGATGCTCCTGACGCCGGAATCGACGAGAGCAGAGGGTGCAGACAAAAGTCTTGGATGGGTCCTCGGTCAGGGACTGTTTGCGACCACGGCGGCCAACAGGGACCATTGGAGTGGGAGCTGGAGTCTCTGAGGATGTGGTGCTTTGTGGATTGGTCTCCGAGCTCTCATGGCTAGGTGCACCTGATTGTTGCTGTGCTTGGGTGGAAGATGAGTCAGTGTGTGAGGCGCGGTTGTTCACATTACTCTGAGCAGTTCGCACGATGGCACCAAGGCTGTCAGCATCACTCTCCTCGGACCCAAGGGGAAGTTGCTTGAGTCGTCGGCCAACAGCTGATACTCGCTTTTTTGTCCTCATGTCTTCGGCAATGTTGCACTGCTCAGTAGTGTCGAACTCTGGAAGTGGGATACAAGAGCGGGCGAACAAGTCACTTTCCTCTAAATCATCCAAGCCCTGCTCGCTAATAATGTCGTCTTCATGGGATGCAGTCGTCGTAGTGCCGTTGTTGGCGTTGCTGACCGTGCGTCTACGTTTTTCGCCAAGCAAAAAACCGTTCTCGGTCGGTGTGAAGTTAACTATACCGTTGACAAATTCGTCTTCAGAGTCGAGATCAGAGATGGCATCAAAGGTCGACAAGCTCTCAAGAGAATCGTCGTGACTCAGTCCAGGAACGGTGAGGCTCTGCTCTAGTTTCAGCGAGCTGCCGAGAAGGGTGGACCGCGACTTGTCTTCATCCACGGTCGAGAGTGGCGGAAGTGGCGGGTAGTCAGGAACGGGTAGCGAAAGCACTGAGCATTCGACGGTAAGCTGGCGTGGGTCGCAGAAATCGGTGCTGGAGGGCTGCTGCGCAGAGAACGAAGTCGTGGGTGTTTCGTGAAGAAGCGACGAAGAGGAGGAAGAAGTCATGATGGGAGAGCGAGAAGGCGAACGCGAGGATGATGATGTAAGCGAAGAGCCTCTCTCAGTGCCGCTATTGGCATTATGGTGGCTGGCCTCGGCAGACGGTAAACTGGCATTGGAATGGACCGAAAACGGACGAACATACACTTTTCGGGTGCCAAGGGTTAGCATATCTTGAATCAAAAAAATATAGATTAAAGATAGCGGATAAGCAAGATGAATGGTATAAGAACTCACAAGGTGTCATCTCAGGAGAAGCGGATCTGTGCCAATGAGAGTTGGCTAGGAGCTCGAGTTCCACGTCTGTCTCGCAGCCCTCTTTGACGCCTTCAATGCCTTCCATGCGGAAAGAGTCACCGCCAACGGGGGTGTTAGTCATTCCACAGCTTGATGGGGGGCTGCTGATGCTGCTACCAGAGGTTGACAGTGGAGGAGTGGATGGAAATCCGTTGGCATCGGCCCAACCACAGTTTGTGTCCAAGGACAGGAGCGCGGGCGAACCGTGTAGGAAAACGCTAGGCTTGATGTGCATTGGTTGCGGAGAGGGCGATGGACTGTTTGCGGCATTGGGAGTTGATAGATAATCCTTCGCACCAAGTGATCTGAACTGAGCACCATTCTGCTGGTCGGACGGATGAAGATGCATCTGCGGTTGCATCTGAGTGAACTGCTGTGGCATCTGAGGCTGCACCATCATCATTTGGTTCTGAGCGTACTCGTTTGGGTGAGGAGTGAAAAAGGCGTGCTGGCCGTGGCGTGACTCTGGCTCTGGGTTGTAGTAGTAGAATGAAGGCTGAGCCTGTTGGGCAACGCAGGCTGGGTCCATTGTGATAAGGAGGTTTGAATAACCTGGCTAATTTCGTTAGTTATGTCACTAGAGGCCGAAACATACATCCCCTCCTTTCCTCGATCATACGATCAGAATTCCCATTCAACCTACCAATTAAATAATATGTAAATTCAACCAAAAACGAAAAAAAAAAAAGGTATTATAAATCTGGGTTGATGGTGTTCCCTAGAAATGTTCCAGTACAGCGTGCGTATCAAAAGGAGCGTATAGAATATTGAAAATCGACTGTAGCAAGGTGAGGACTCGTGGGATTTCGATTATCAGCGAAGCAGAATCTGCCTTATCCTTCCAAGTCTATAAGTCGAGTTTCGTTGGTCTGCCACCCATATGGTATATATGTTCCTCGGAGGTGTTGCTAAAGAATGGCTTGTTTGAGTCGAGGAAGAGAGAGGGACGGAGAGAGGATAGAGAGGGAGTAATAGGTATTAAGGAGTGACTGATGAAGCCTGGGAGTGCTGGGATAATGTAGAAGAGAGCGTGAGGAAGTAGGCAGGCCAACAGCGTAAAGTAAATATAAAACAGAACAAGAGGAATTAAAAGAGAGAACGGAGAAAAAAAGAATATGGAGAAGATGATATAAGTATATAAACGACCAGTTTGACGGGCAAGGCGAAAGAAGGGAGAAAAAACAATTAGTGAACTAAAAAGAGTGACTGGACGACAGTTTTGTCCAAATCAGAGGGTGGAAACGAACGACGAGGGAAGACCAGGCAAATTAACGCGGAATCGAGGTGTGTGGCTCAAGAAGAGAGACGAAGAAGAGAAAAAGAAAAGAAAAAAAAGGACAATGAGTGTATATCAGTGGGAAGATGTAGAAGAGTAAGGAAAAAGAAAGTATGAAGATAGGTCGATGAAGAAGAAGAAGAGAGATGGGAGAGAAAGAGTGGAAGTGGCAGAATAAGAGCGTGTCAATCACTTTCTCTTTCCCTCGCTCTCGTTCCCCCCAGCGCAGGTGCAGGGCAGGCTAGGTTGCCAATCCGGCGAGTAGCATGAACCGTTAAGACACGCCGGCCGCCATCCAGTAAGCGGTCGAGCGGGCGCGGGCGAGGTCCCAGTGGCCAGGTGGATACTCTCTCTGCTGGTGGTGTTGCTTGCTTCTTTTTGCTTTTTTTCTATCTTTTTTTTTCTTTTTTTCTTTTCTTTTCTTTTTATTTTTTTTGCGAACTCGCCCAAGACGACGGGCCAGTAGCCATGCCGATTGTAATTGCACAAGAATGGATATGCCTGTGGGTGTAACTAACAAACCTCGTTAGTTGGTCTGGGGCCGCTGGTCGGAGGATGGCGTAGCCTACGACTCCACTGAATATGGAAAAAGCAAAAAGGGGACCAACGCGAGGAAAGGCTCACCATTGCGCTGCTGATCCCAGAAAGCCAGACAGACACCCATGAAGCACACAGCACAGCACAGCACGCTCACACAGGCTGGTTCAACTTTCTCTGTCGCTCCCTTGGCCCTGGGGACCCTGCCTGTCCCTGTGGTTGCGGTCAGCGAGGCACCCCCAGGTAGGACTCCGGTGGAAAGGCCAACGAGCCAACAAGAATGCATCACAGGGGATGTGGGTTTTCTCAGACCAACCCTGTGCTCCGAAGAGTGGAAGCCAGGAACGGGACATATACGTAATGTCATGCACTTTCTGATGGTCCATCTCATCCAACTCATCATCAGGACAAATTGTACATACATACAACGACACCTTCATTCATTCCTGTGCATGCTATGTATGTACTGCTCTGGGACGTGGCGGCACCCGCCATGTCTCTCAATTAGTTAGCTGTCTGACTCGATATGTGCCTTCGCACACTTTGCACACACCCTCGCGCTCACACACCCTGGGCCATTAACCTTCAGGAACGCCAGATTGGCGCTGCTATTGGATCGCCGCTGACCGAGCGAGCAGCCAGCATCCGTGAAATCGTGACATTGCGTCCGGAGTAGTGAGAGTTGAGGGCGGTGTGTGGGCCGCCGATTTCAGTGCTGGAGAAGAGGCCATCGACGCCGGATGGCCGTGACAGGCACATCCGTTCCATGCAGCCAGATTGGATAGGCGAAAGGGTGGTTGGATATGCCAATACTATGCCTTCTCCAAAAACAAAAAAAATTACCAAAATCAATGCCTGTGGAAATCAACCTCTTTCTTCTTTTTGGCTCTCTTGATGCTGACTCTCCGTTGTATCTTTTGGATGGTACTCCGTGCCGTCGAGAGTAAATATGTATATTCAAGGGTCCACCAGCCCAGAGCCACTTTGTGGACATGAAACTTGACGGGAAAAATGCGGAGGTTAGAGAAGTCGGGCGCCAGGATGCTCACAGCGGCAGATACGATTCGTGGACATGGCTCCTGGTGCTGGTGCTCGTCCTTTTTTTTCTTACACGTCTGGCGGCCTGTCTGCTCAAGCGTCCTTCGGGATCGCTTGCTTGACACGGGCAGGATAAGAGCACGCGCGCTCGACCCTTGAAAAAAAGTGACCACTCCAAACACTACTAGGATGGCTTAAAGCAGAACGAACTCTCTGTTGCTCTTGTCTCTTAGCGCATTTAACTCACGTTCGACCCGTTCTGGCGGGAGAGGCAGCGTGCTCAAACACCCGAATATGGACATTATACGCAGGACGCACTGTTGTTTGTGTTTAAGAGACGGAGAAGTGTGCCTTGGTAGAAACGTCCAACTAGAGCCATTCATGCTGCCATGCGAGCGACGACAATTTACAGCTGAAGCGCCGTTGAAGGAAAAGCCGCCAGAAAAGAAATCTCTGTTTGACTGTGGTTGACCGTCGACTTTTTGTTTTTTGCGTGTGGTGTGTCCGTTTTTTTGCTGTGTAATTTTTCTTATTTTCTGCCTTCCGTGTGCCGCCTTGTCGGTGATATCGGCCCACTGATCCAACTATAAAAAGAACGAGTAAGATGAAGGTGATTGCCCACGAAGGATCCATCATCATGCACGGGTTTGATGTCAGAGACTTTCTGACACACCGTGCAGAAAGATAAAAAGAACCTCCAACAGGACAAAAGGGAAGAAAAGAAAAAGAAAGTCAAGATAAGAAATATGTTCATAAGTCAGCAGTATCATAAACCTTCTTTTTTTGTCTCTCCCTTAATTATTTGTCTGTCACCTTTTTTTTTCCCCAACAGGACTCCGTAGAGGACTGCCCTCAAATGGTCCAAGGCCTCTCTCTTTTTTCGTCACTGTCTATCTCACTCTCTTCAGCTAAAAAGCAAAAGTTATGGTTGATTCACATATATGATGTTGAACGAACCGTTCTGAAGCATTGCAATGGAAGAAGCTTCGTCATTTTGCGCGACAGAAACTTGGTTTTGTTTTCTCATTATTCATTATTCTCGTCAGCGGTATCAATCACATTCGATGATCGCCAGATAGCAAGTCCCAGAGGTATTCCCGAAGTCGAGCTTGACAAACAAGGTACTTCCCTACTAGATCAAAACTCAGGAAGAAGCGAGGTTTCTCGTTTTCCCAGCTGTCGGGTCAACCACCCAGCCGCACTGTCAAAGCATGCTCTATGCCTTCTTTGTTTGCCCTGGCCTGGCCATGGGGCAATCTGTCATGATAACTGTGATAGCACCGCCAATACTCTGTAGCTAGTTCGTTTCGAGCAGCCATGCATCAGTTACATGAGAGGAAATCGGCACTATTGCCCTCCTGTGCTCCAGCGATCCGAACTCTATCCTCTAGAATGGACCGGGGAAGCAGAGGCGCTCGCTCCGTCCACAATTTTTGTCCTGACCGATTAGAAGCTTTGTTCGACGTTTAACCCAGTGTTGCTGTGATGTGTGGAATCTGTTCTCGGATGTTCAACAACCGTCTTTACGCCTTCATATGCATTGACCTTCGATAGTCATCTTGCTGTTTTCGATGAGAAAAAGGGTCCAGGATGCGCTAATTGGTAGTTATCTTATCCCTGCAGGGAGTTGTAGTGTGTACCACGGATTGAACGCGCACAGGGCAAGACAATATTTCATTCTTCTCTCTCTCTCTCTTACACACACACACACACACACAGATGTGATGTGACTGCGTGTGCCAGTGTAAATACTCCGATTTGTGAGATGCTGCCTGGTCTGCATATATGTCTGCATCCAACCGAGGAACAACGGGTCACAGCATGAAAAATTCTGATGCACTTGAGATGCAAGAAAGTTATCTTAATGCGAGCATTAGACCAGTGAAGCTGAAATTGTAGCTCTCCGCTGGAGCAATGCCGATCCTGTTTTCCTCGTTGTGTGTGTGCAGTACGTTTTTGTCTCCGTGTGTATACCTAACGGGTCCAAGTATAGGTCTGTGGGACGTGAGTTATTTCTTCATACATTAACTTCTTCTGCCTCATTTCCTGGCCGCCATGGCCGTCGAGATGGTGGTGATGTTCAGTCACCTCTGTCCCCGGCTAAGTAGACACGGCACAGATAGGGCAAAGCTCTAGTTTGGTGGCAGTTGTTTCCCCTCCAGGAACTGAGACGAGATACCATGAACCAGAACTGAACCAGCCAAACCTTCGAGACATCCTTTGAACCCGCGATTTACAAGTGCAAAATAGAACACCCCACCCCTCCGGCGTATTTGATATCGCGAGCGAGGTTGAAAGCCCGGAAGCTTGAGATCAAGGTAAAATCACCTTCGACCCTCGTGCCGAGTCATGCAAAATATCAAGATTATCAAGTCACGGCAGTTGAGAAGACAACGGCAGATACCTGCTTCTGGCAGTCATTATCTTGATCTTATGACGATTTGTTCCATACCGCCGCTATGTGCACTCCGCAGTCTTGTGCTGCGCGCCTTATTCTTCACCTTCTTCTCCCTTTTTTTTCTTTTTCTTTCCTTTTTCGCTTTATATTTTATGGAATGTGATGTTTCCTTGCTTGATGCTCGCGAGTGTTGACGTTGGGAGTTGATGTAGTCGAAAGTTGGAAGTCCAGCAGACACATCACTGCTTATGTAACCCTGCCTTGGACGACGACGACGACCCAGCGTATACCAGGCTATCTTCAAGACCGCGAATTCAAGATATCCTCTTCATTTGTCACACGCCGCCGATGAGCCTTGTACTATGGACATAGTCTACACGTCGACTCCAGCGTGACCGCGACAGATCGACTAGATCGAGATGAGCTACCCGCAACGCCCACATCTCGATCGGGCATTGGGATGGTCAGCGGCTCTGGCCGATCGATGGGGAGAAAAAACTAGTCATCATCTACTCTCTACTAGTAGCGGCGGCAAATCCCCATGGCAAATCACCACACGCTACGCGTGTACTATGCGTACATCTGGACGTCACAGCGAGGTTGGGAAGAGAAGAAAGCATGTGAAATGATTATGCAATGGCGCCGCGCCGATAGACGACCTACAAGCCTCTAAGATCCGGGGTAGTAAAAAGGTAAAAAAAAATGGCTCGGTTGACCAAACCAGCTCCCATCAGCTGTTGTTTCGGCAAAAGCTGCTCGACAAGGTGTGGGTATGACTGGTAGAAATGTCGAAGGGCCAATTGCACACGACCACCTTCCCGTGCTCCCGGGCTTGGAAGCGTTGAACCCATTTTACAAAACCCCAAGGTGTACTCCGTGCTTCGGAGGGTTGGGGCACATCAACTGCCCTCGGGCTGGGTCCACGACAAATGAGGACCCAAGAGAGATCTTGGTGTCCACAAATATTGTCACGGAGGTGTGGAAACTGTGAACGACCAGTTGGGAAACTTTGCCGTCGGCCATCCACAACCCCCCCTGCAGAACAGGAACACACCATGAAAGTCTGTTCCTGACCCAGGCGATGTGATGGTTTCTCCACCAGCGCATACCAGGAAGCTTCGACTAGTGTCTGAACCCTTGGATATTGTGAAACACGCCAGAAGCCCATCCAGTTATTCTTCCATCCTGGCCGTCCAAGGGCCGCGAGGATGGATGGCTCGGAGTAACTCGACAGAGGACTAGGGAAGGGCCAACGACAGGCCCCCGGGCAGAGGCAATTAGTTTGTCGTGCATGGAGGAGGGTGGTATGGGCGAGTTGGAAATGCAGCCTTGCCGGGTCAGGCACAGGTTGAACCCGATGAATATATGCTCAAGTCGAGAGTCTTCCGACTGTGCGCGGCAGATAAAATATCTTCGTGCAAAACGGCTTAATTTTGCGTATATTTAATTTCCCATGCTGCTGCCATTGGCGTCAGCAATAATCGACAAAAGGCCGTTCCAAGGTTGTGCCTGAGCAGGCTCTCTCCCCGTCTTCTAGCAAAGTGGTCACCTTCTTTTCGAGTATCTCTTGCACGGAACGCATCTGGTCTGCCTAGAACAGACTGCGGGATTCGAGCAAAAATAACTGAAACAAGTTCTATAAATGGCAAATTTATCAAGATTTTTTTTTTTTTTTTTTTTTTTTTTTTTTTTTTTTTTTTTTTTTTTTTTTTTTCGCTACAAGGCACCACATACGGAGCCCTATGATATTAAACGCTCCAGGAATCGCATATTATCGCCATCTCCGAAAGTTCCAAATGGGCCTCTTTTTCCCACATCTTACCAGTTGAAACAAACCAATAAGGATACGTCTATGCGTTGCTTCGGTGTACTTCTATATATATGACTGCGGTCTGAAACATCTCTGTCGCTTAATTTCCATGGTTGGACTCTTGAATGAATTAGCCAGGCAGACTATCTTGCCACATACTGCGGCGTCCACAGGAAGACGACAGACTCAAAAAGTCAAGGGCGATGTAAAACACCGACCTTGCATCAACGAAACAACAGAGTAACTCTCTGTATGGTACGATTTCGCCGTGACCATGCTCAAGAGGCAATTTCTCGGGTTTGCCTAATACCCCAGCTGTGATATTCCATGAATCTTGCGCTTCAAAACGCCGTTCTGGTCGGTGACGAGAAATCACCTGTTGCATATTTTGTGTGATGATGAACACGATCGCTGTAAACCAACAGGACTAGCCAATCCTACATATAATGGCCTCCAATATATGCATGGCCTAAAAATGTCCCGACAGCGCTTGGCGGCTGTGGTGTTGCTACCATACCGAAGCACTATTTTGAATATCAGTTCATATCACGCAAAAAAGCTGCCTTCTTACACTTTTCCCCTCCTCCGGATGGAGAAGTATTTCGAATAATATCAGCCTTTTAGGCAAGCGGCCTCCAACATGACGCATTCCAGGTAGGAGGCAACATCGTGAAAAAATCGAGTCCATGCATTGGCCAACGTCCAAAGGGCGCCTTCAAATCCGCCGTGCGATGTGGATGCACGTCCTAGCGATGACGGGAGGCGGGGAACTACGAAAAACGAAAAAAAAAAAAAAAAAAAAAAAAAGGAAAATGGAAAAAAATGAAAAAAATCATCCAATAATGGCCACACTGGACCGCCAGGCAGTTCCGGGCTTTTTTTCTTCCCACCACCTATACGAGATGTGCCAGGGCTTATTTGCACATTTCCGTACTCGACCAGATAACGGGACCTTACTCCGTATGATGGTGCCTGAAAACTGTCTCGGATGTTATTTTTTTGTTTGGCTGGAGCTTTTCCACTTCCTCCATTACCCGTACTTCTAAGTCACTCTTGGCCACCATTCGCTTTACTTGCATTCAGCTGGCTTCACAGCATTTGATGAAGTAGGAAAGCTTCGCAATATCCGCCAAGGTGAGAGCGGTGAGGCAAAGAGGCATGTTACTTGAACATACAGGTGAATTAGGTAAGTCGAGGCCGAAACTATTGTTAGCTATCATGGTTCCGACGGCAAGGTACATGGAAGAACCGGTACACGAGAATTGGTGCACCGGCAAATAAATACACAGTTCCGATTACAATCCTTCCCCCTGGTTACTTAGTTTTCCCTCGACTAATCCAGATAACAGGACGCAGATTCAATGATCCCAAGGTTGCAAAGCACACTTGCTAAAGTCCTTGTGCAGGCTATACGAATTACGAGAAACGATATTAATGCACTTAAGCTTCCCGCCGGTTCTGTTCTTCGGACTTGCTCCCTTCCAATCCAGTCACTACATCTCTCCCACCCAAAACTCAACCCCCAATATGTTGGAGTTTAACGCGCCAGCTCCATCTCCTTGGTGGACTTCTGCGCTAGCAGAGCCAGAACCGCGAAAAGGTGCCTGAGCATCATGGCCCCCACACGTTGAGGGCCAGGCATACGGTTACCTCGCTATTGGAGACTGGACTATTGATCACACCAGCGATTTGCCTTTAAAGGATACAGCTGTCGATCCAAGACGCTTCCTTTCCCCATATTCGTCGATTTCCATTTTGGCTTTACATTTCGACTTTGGGAGGGCTCCACTGATCGCTTAGATTTTGCGATTGTACCACATACTGTGAAACTACCGATTGAGGCGAATATGCACTCTCTTTCTCTGCCTATTTCTCAAGGAAATTTGCCATTGCTAAATCACTGCCAAAAACCGAACGCCATGCGTCTGATCATTTACTAAATCTCCGGTTCAGCCCATCGGTTATCTGTAGTCTATTTATCTTCCTTAAACCTTCCAGATCTTTTCCCCAGTCTTCTAAATGTAATTGATTGTACGGAGTACTCCGTACATCATAGCAAATAAGCAGGTGGGGATAGAGCTTCTTGATTCCTACCGACTATTGTGCCCACATCAGTAACTTGAAACACGCAATGAGTATGCCACTTCCCGCAACCCATCCTTATTTCCTTTTTTTTTTTTTTTTTTTTTTTTTTTTTCGTCGTTTGCCTTCCAGAAGCATGACAGATCCGATAGCATCTGCAAGTTATTGCCAATAACCCAACTCTCTTCTTCAGATGGAAAGAAGAAAAGCCATCCAGAATTTGCCGCTCCCAGAATGTCAAAGTGCCACATGGTACGGGAGACAAAACCGACAAAAGAGAATCGCATGGTGTCGATCAGGCGATCATATCCTCTGCCATCAATTCATAAGCCTGTAAGTCTCTCCGGCCAAAGATGAATGACACATGAACAGAGTGGTTATGTTTGCTTGAGATGTACAACGCAGAAAATGTGCACCATTTTTCGTTTTCTGGATGCACCTATCAAAGTCTCCGCAAGCATATGATAACTCGGATGCTTATTACCGCGGCAGGAAAAGATAGACACCAAGGTAATCACTTCATGACGTCATGGTATACCAGTCATTTATCGACAAAGATTAAATCCCACTGGGAAAAGGAAGAGGAAATCAAACGAAGGCATTATTGAGATACCCTTCCTAGACATGGAAGATGTAAAACGCAGACTGGAAAAACATGGTAAATTTGGCCTCAGCGAAAGTGTCAAGTGAGATCATTGGGCTATATATCCCTTCAGTCTCTTCCTATTATGTTTTTCATAGATACCGAGAGTCATGCTCCCGTATATCCCATCATCGGCCATGGAGGAGGGAAAAGAAGAAGAGAGGGAAGAGAGGGAAAAATTCTGCAAGAGACACCACTGAGAGAAAACCATATCACGTGATATAATTATTCAGCATTAGGCGAGACTCTGTTTGCACCGTTTGTATCTGTCCGTATACGGACTAGCGTGAATTGTTGAGCTTGGAATAAAAGATTTTTTTCGTCGCCTGTTTCTTATTTTTCTTCTCTTCCTTTCTCTCTCTCGTGCGGCGAACGCAACGTAAAATGATTACTATCATTACCCGTGTTACCTATGCGTCTGAAGCTGTCTGTACAGGCAGGTTCATCAGTGATGTTATCCATTTAGGTGTCAGCTGCGTCCCAGAGAGATGAAATTGCACGTTGATTCTTACTTTTATTGGCCGTTCTATATATCAGCAGGAACGGCCATTTGTTGGGATCAAACACTCATTGCATACCTATTCTGTACTGCTTTTAAATGAATATACCTTGTCTAGAGTACCCTTTACGTGTATGAGAATGGAAGCTTCCGCTGTTGCTATTATGCTACGAAGGTTCCTTTTGTTTATGAAGTGATATATTTTTCTGGAATACCATTGAGTGCCTGTTTCAATTGCCTGAAGCGCCAACCTTCTCTATAACACCTTCTCTCTTCTCCCCTTTCTCGCCGAAGATGCGTAGTCTGTCTACTCTTATCTTCTCGCCCTCTCCGTCACCGTCGACAAAATACACATTGAGGGAAGAAACTCCCTGGAACAGGACGTACCGGAGCTCAACAGTGGCAGTGCCCGTCTTTGGATCCCAATCCTTCGGAGATATTTCGCAAGTCTGCACAGGTTTGGAGTCATCCGCATCCTCAAATCCGATAATGTGGGCGTGGTTTGTAAAGAGCTTTATAGTCCTTGGCCGCATAGGTGCATTCTCTTCGTCATCGCTGTATGGCGGGAGTGAAGTTATTTGTAGAGAATGAACCTTGGTGGAGGATTGGAAGGGGATGAACACAATTAATTGCTCGTCCGTGTCGCTTAGCACCCAGTCTGGGTTTATAGGTTCATTTTCTTTGCCCTTAGCATTTGCTACGGCAAGGGTACGGGGAATCTGGCTGTCGAACAAACTTCTTGCAGCACCGGCTTCGTCGTCACGGTTAAGCATATCTATGCCCTTCACTTCTACTTCATCTGTAATGTCCTGATAAGTTCGCGGGGCAGGAGCACCTAGCCAGGTCGAACCTTCATCACTTATTTCCTTCGACGCTGTAGGGACTTCGCCGTTGGCAACCTGCACGCCAGCCATAACTGCAGTGGTGAGGGCTTCTTTTCCCGCTCCCTTTACCTCTCGTAGGATTTCGCCGTGATGGTAAACAATGAATGTGGGCATACTAAAACAGGAAACATGGCATGTTAGCTCCTTCTAAACTCCACATCCAAACTATCCACAGTAGCAGTAGAGACTAAAACATAAGGAAATCTCCGGGTACATACGCTGTGATATTGAAGAGCCTTGCGATATCTTCTTGCTTGTCCACGTTGACCTTTGCGAACTTCACTTTTTCACCAGCATGCTGCTCCGACAGGCTGCCAAATACCGGGGCTATTGCTTTACATGGTCCGCACCAGTCCGCATAGACTATAGGAAAGCAAAATGCTTAGTTTTATGTTGAAATATGGATAGTTGAGAGAAGGGCAGTTATTTCAACATTGTTGATGTTGAAGTTAGTGGGGTAACGAGGGGCAAGCTCGGAGAGCTTTGGGGGAAGAAGGGACATCTTACAGTCCGCTATTAGAACAGGAGTCGTTGATAGCAGTGCTATGAACTCCTCTATGGACGTGACTTCGATCGTCTTCGTCATATTGGGCGTAAGCGTGGTTGGTCAAGTCGCGGCGGTGACTTGTCTTGGTTTTGAGGACGTTGGCAAACTTCGCGCTTAGAGACTTTCAAGTAGTTAACTAACTAGTTGTGGTTCCCATTTTAGCCGCAGGCGCTGCTGCTTTACCGCCACGAAACTTTCGGCAGTGTATCCTCGATTCACATATAACCAGACATAGCCTCGAAAAATGTATCCTCTGAAAGTAATTGGATCTAAGGTCTGGCTGGAATCTATATAAAACTTGCGTTATTCCTCCGTCTTATAGAAGATTTTCAGAGAGCTACACAGCGTTAGTAGCAGCGGCCTTTGTCTGCATCTGCGGGAGAAGGATACCCGTGTCATTCCTGAAAAATAGTTATAACAATGGGGATAGCTCAAAAAGTCTCCAGGATAGATCTGTTTTTGGCCTGTACGTTTATATAATTATACCATCTAAAAGTTGTGTATTTGATTATACAATTTCAAAGATAAACGCCAACAATTTGTGAAAAGACCTCAAAAGTATGATATACTTAGAGTAGTAGCAGTCATCGTATAGCAATTGGACCTAAAAAAGTTCTTAGAGTGAAATCTTGCCATTGCTGTACCAAAGCTCTTATAGGTAATGTAACAAAAGAGGATATGGATCTTGACTCGCATGTTGTTCAGCGGCGCCAGGGATATGTCTAGTATGCAATAATAAAAATTCCGGGAATTCCCATAACTTGATTCCTTTTCTTGCTAAGGCATTTGTCTAGTCGTCCGAGGAACAACAACCTGCCGTAATGGCGGCCCCTTCCAAAATAGTGTGCAGGCTAGTACCCCGTAGGTAAAGAGCTATGGCTCTCACCATAATGACAGACTGAGAAGGTCCTGCTTTTCCATCGACAGTCGTGGTAGTTAAAAAATGAAAATTAGGCGTCGACGTTCATTCATTAATGTCTTCGTGTACAGCAAAGACTACCTTAGCCCACAGGCTGCATCCCCGACAGCCTATAATAACCTCTCCTTTGTCTACTTCCTTCTCCAAATCTTCCTCGGTAACCATAAAGCCTTTTTCGTCACCACATCGACAACCTCGATACCACGTTTCAATGGTCTCTTGCCCTCCGCTCCCGTCAGACTGACATAAAATTGTCTCTGTGGCCATGTCGTCAAGGTCAAGCATCTCTAAACCAGTGCGGAAAACCACGTCATCATTCTCGTTCCTCCCAATATTTGATCTAGTCCTTGGAATTCCCGATAGCAGAAGAAATTGATCATATTCAGCTTTTGTGGCTGGGCTGGAAAGAACCTTATAGGCAGTTGTAATCTGGTCCACGGTACGAGGCTCTGTGGATTTAGGGGTATTCAGTGTGCCAGGCAGGCTATCCTGCTTTCCTATATCTTCTCCCGGTGAGGACGATGGTATTGACTGGCCAGATTTATCCGGGTGATACTGGAGCAAAGCGCGGTGGTAGGCCGCCTTGATGTCTTGCTTCCTCAACGAGACTGGAGGATGAGGGAGGCCGAGAATCTCATAATGCGAGATATCCTCATGGCTAGGGTCCGAGGGGGCCATTAAACAGGCGGCGCTGTCACTGCTAGTGGTTTATGCCTGCGATCTTCAGCGCAGCCGTTGAGATTTCATTTCAGTCAATTTTGTGCTTGCTGCTTAGTCAGCCCTGTTTTTCCTAGTGAGCTTGGGAGGAGCGAAGAAAGTCCAGGGCGCAGCTAGTTATGTCTGAAGCGTCATAGTGACGAAGCTACTCTTATATGTTCAGTACAGCGTAATAGCTGGTAGCGATATCTGCATTGCACGGCTACCGGCAGTGAGAAGAAAAGTGCAGGTTGCGTTCTTTTATGGGTGTCTTGGACATCAGCCCATCCAGTTCAGCCGGTATCCGGGAACCGAAACTAACTATTTAAACAAAGGCTGATCCCGGTAGTTAATCCAGCTCAGTGATCCACAGCCTTGCTTTAAATATTCCTCCATCTCCTGCGCCGTCTAAGTAAAGGCAAAGTACTTCTCTTGGGTTTTTCTCTTACTCTCTCTCCGGTCATTACTGTTCAGCAGTTGGTGCAACTTACCCCAGCTGTTACCGTTTACAATGCGCGCCGTAACCTTGATCGGGACCCTGTCTGTCCTTACGGTTCTTTTCTACTGGCTTGACTCGAATCTCAGTAGCTTTTACATCTTCAAGCCATCGAGACTCCAGGAATTGGCAAAGGCATCGATTGCCAAACATCCCAACAATGTCACAGCGTTGATGGTGGATTTAAACGCGGCGTTGCAGGAGGAATATGGCAGTCAACATATTGCGCCCTTTACCACCAACCCAGACAGATGGATTTGGAGGTATCCAACCCCCAAGTACCCCCAATTTTTTTTAATTTTTTTGATTCTTTATTTTTTTTTTTTTTTTTTT